GTAAGTTGTTGATACGCAAGTTTAATTTGATTACATACTGAACTATCAGTTGAATTTCGAGATGTTTATTAGCAATTCAGAAAAAACTGCAAGATATTACAAAATGTCTATTAATTATCGGTATCACTTGTGGTTAATAAAATGCAATAGCATTATCAGTAACAAATATTACAAACAAAACATGGAGTTAATTGCATTAATATCACTAATTGCAAATATGAGCAAAACAAAAAAAAAGTTTTGGGCATTACAAATATTCGCAAAAAGAAAGAGACACGGATTCTATTATGCAACATTGCCCTAATAGTGTCCCTAATAGCCCCAGACGCTGAAATCTGAACGGTTTAGATTTATGCGCAAAAGTGCTGCGCACGGGTCTGACGCTCGACGCTCGAACGCTTGCATGTAATGGCATCTTAAGGGTGCCATTACATGAAGCGTGGAAACGCGGAAATGCGGAAGACAAAATCTTAGGACGCCGTCCTACGAAGCGGAAATTTTCAGCGGAACGGAACGTGCGGAGTTAGCACGACCAATCACAGCCGTTCCGTTCTTCTTTCGGCGCTTTTTATATTTTCCTTGTGTCCCATGGAGCGAAATACGCGGAAGCGGATCACGCAGAATAATACAAAAAGTAGACTTTTTAATGTTATTTCTTACGTTTTTAAATAATTTTTTAATAAACGTTTTTAATAATTTTAATAATATTTTATAACTGATATAATATATGATAAATTAGTAAAGAGTAAAATTAGTTTCTCAGTAAAATACTTTTTATGAAAATATGCAACTATTTTATGATTGGCTAAAACATAATTCCGCTGCTGCGTTTACCGCTTCATGGGACAGAACGAAAAGTACATCAGCGGAATTGCGGTGATACATTATGTAGTATAATAAAATGAGATCTGTTGTGATTAATTATGGAGAATATATTATGTGATTTTTGTTGACTGTGGCTGTTAATTATACATATAAACATATAAACATATTCACATATTATACATAATTGTTTACTACAATTATCAAAATATTAACATCTTATTACTTACGATTCCTCCACTAATTATTTCTAAACGAAATAATAAAGAATGTCGAAAAAATATATATGTATAATAAATGTATAAGAAGCAAATGAGATATGTAAGATATGTTGAGGTTATCCGCGACTATCTTTATCCTTTCCGCAAAATTGCAGCAGTAAGATTATAGCGAAACGGCACAAAAAAGAGCGGAACAGCTGTGATTGGTCGTACTGGTTCCGCGTGTTCTGTTCGCGGAGAATTTCCGCCCCATGGGACGTCGGTCTTACTAGATCCGCTACGCGTTCCGCGTTTGCTTTGATTACCTAACATTACATGAGGCATATTTTGAGCGGAAAAGCAGTAGGGAATTATAAAATATTAATTTTTAACTATATTTATTAATTAAAATGCTTGTATTCGATAAGCTGAAAATATAAACATATTAGTAAAAATTGCAATAAATGAAGTGAATACAATTTTAAAAAATGAATACAGATGTTTATTTGTCACCAAACCGTTCCGCTTTTCCGCTCAAAATATGCCTCATGTAATATTAGGCAATCAAAACAGACGCAGAACGCGTAGCAGATCTATTAAGATTTTGTCTTCCGCATTTCCACGTTTCAGTAATGGAATGGCTTCATGTAATGGCACCCTAAGAATACATTGAGCATGCAGAAGACACAACTGTTGCACAAAGGTTTAATAACGTATATACATAGACCAAGCATTCTGTCCGCAAAGTAAAGCCGGAAGTTAGCAGTTTAAAACAGAGTGAAAAAGTTGATTTGCCCTTAGTGCTATTTCAGTCTATATTATTGACTGTCAAGAAAAAGGGTTCGTTTAACACTACAAATACTTTAAAACGTTAAATAAAGCAATGTAATCGATCCATTCGTCGCTCTGAAGCACTTACAGCTCTAAATAAAACTATTTAGAACGAAACCTTATCCAAGAACTTTATCCCATCATAGCAACCTAATCTTTTTCATATGACAATAGAATGAGAACAGGATAAGAGCAATTGCTGTGATTATTTATACACAGCATAAAATATTATAAATATCAATTTTATATCGAGATAAGTGAAATATACGGTTTTATTCTTTTAATTCTACACTGCATTATACAGGGTGTCCCGAAGTCCCATGATGACCCTTGGTGAGAACGTAGAACGGATTGAGGTGAGCAAGAAAGTCCTGTGCCGTTTTGCGATATTCGCAATAGTTTTTGAGAAATTAATTATTTTGTCTCAACAAATCAGCGTACAGAAAGCGGCAGCGGAAAGAAAGATGCCTTCGGCCGACGTGCGACCG